AGAGCCATATGCACATTGCAACACGCAAGGGTGAAGGGTTAAGTCCCGCCTCGGTGAGGTGGTGGATTTCACTTCAAGCCGGAACATTTGCTTCATAGTCGCAATGAATTAACCGTCTCGCGTAATCACCCCACCCGCCCATCCGCAACTTGGTTTGCAAAACCCACGTGGGGATCGCGATTGCGCTAATTGCTCGGCGCTGGCTGGCGCATCGCTGCGGCCGCGCCAGCGCGCGCAGGCTCGCGCGCAAAGCAGCCAGCTAGTCAGGTGTGACTGACGCGGCCGCGGTGGCGCAGGCCGCTGGGGACTTCCCAGAGCGTCTCGCAGGCCGCGCTGGCGCGTTGTGCGGGTACTTCAGATCGAGTCGGTGTCTCCGGCGGGCGTGGTATCATGGCGACGTTGACAATGGCAGACACGATGATGATACTAGCGATGCTATTGGCGACGGCAAGACCAATGACAGCGCCGATGCTGACCGCGCCGATGACGATGATGATGGTGCCCGCGTTTTGGCGATGGGCATTCTGGAATGATTTCGTCACGCGCGCGCTGCCGACTGGCGCGAATGATATTATTTGACAGGGATTGTGCCTTCCCCCACCCAACACCCGCGCAAGGCCGCTCGAATGATGTCGATTTGCGCGCGCGAGACGCCGGCGTGGTCGCAACTGATGCGCGGGTTGAGAAACCAATGGTTTGCTTAAAAAGTCGCAAGAACGCGCGCATCCGAAAAACTATGTTGATACCCCCCTGTGTTTTGCTTGTTCTCAAGGCATTTAATCATGATATCTCGCATGCGCGCGACGACGCGCGCGTGTGGACTTTGCCACGTATTTAGCACAAGGGTTGTGACTTTATGATTTTGGCCAAACGAGTGCGCGTGCATAGTATTTTTTGTCAGGGGTGAGGGGGGGTCGATTTGGGCTCCCCCCAGGTGGTACGAATTCATTTCTACAGTGGACAATGGGGCAAAATCATATGTAAATTGCAGGACGCGAGGCCAAACGGTGAACTGCAGGGGGAGGGGCCGATTTTATTTTTGGCTAGCAAGAAAAATATTTGCGACGCGGCGACGGGGCGGCAACGGCGACAACGGGGCGGCGACGGCGAGCGCGGAACCGGCAAATCTCCAGTCAGGCACAGACGACGGGCGGCGACGAGGCGGCGTTGGGGCAGCAACGGCGGACACGGAGCCGCCAGACCGCCAGCCAGGCCCAGGTCCGTAGAGGAGAAGTGATACCCCCAAAGTGCAAACACTATTGGTATAATCTGTATATACATATTTTCAGACATATACGTACATGTTTCTATGTGTCTAGATATGTGTATATGTATGTATGCATGCATGCACGCACGCATGCATGCATACATGTATGTGTGAATGTATGTGTATATAGCTATAGGTACGTGTATATGTATGCATGTGTGTATGTATGTATGTATGCATGCATGCATGCATGCATGCATGTATGTATGTATGCATGTATGTATGAATGTATGTATGTATGTATGTGTGTATGTGACGAGTGCATGTGTGCATGTATGTAAGTATGTATGTGTGTTTGCACGCATGTATGGATGCATGTATGGGTGTGTGCATGTGTTACTGTGTGTATGTATGTGTGTATGTATGCATGTGTGTATGTGGGTGTATGTATGTATGCATTTATGTATGTATGTATGTATGTATGCATGTATGCATGTATGCATGTGTGCGTGTGTATGTCTGAATGTATGTATGTATGGATGTATGTATGTATGTATGTATGTAGGTATGTAGGTACGTAGATATGTAGTTATCTAGGTATGTAGGTATGTAGGTATGTAAGTATGTATGTATATGTGTACGTATGTGTGTATGCATGTACGCATGTATGTGTGCGTGTATGTAAGTATGCATGCATGCATGTATGTATGTATGCATGAATCTATGCATGTGGACACACGAATATATGTAGGTATGTCTGATCAAACTGCCTGCTGCAAACCCGCGTTACGTGTACACTCATGTTCGCTGCACTGGCAATGTTGTTTGACAGTAATGCTCGCAAAACAAAGCAACCGGTGATAATAGGAGGAGGAGGACGAGGACGAGGGCGCAGAGAAGGAGGAGGAGGAGGAGGTGGAGCAGCAGCTGCAGTGACGAGGGGTAAGCGAAGAGCGAAGAGAAGGATGGGAGAAGCGGGGAGGAGGCGGAGGGACCAGAGAAGAGCGACAACGTCATTGGCGGTCTTCATGATGCAGGTCGCATTTCCCACCGCGCGCTCAACATAAGAAATTCACAGCGGGTGCGGGCAACGGTCAGATGCATGGCGGCGGGCTTATTCAGGTTTCGGCCGACAAGGTCGTAGGAATCGTAAAAGCCGCGCAGAAAAGCGCAGACACCCTGCAGGTGTGTGCAGAAACTACTCTCTGATAAGAAGGGAGAGTTGGGAAGCTTGCCTCCCTGAACGAGCGGTCTCCACTGTTCCCACATGAACGACGCAAGATAATTGGCTCGATTGCGCGTACGTTCGCGCGTAAGCTACCCGCGTCACGTCGCGCGTAAGTGCCCTCGTTTCCACTGGCGTGCCGCGCTGGCGGCCCGCGCAAACCACCGCGGAAGGTCGGCATGCCATCTTAAGCAAGGGCCCGTTGCTTCCCGTCGCCCACGTGGAACGCGGTGGCGGGGTCCCGCGCGGAGGAGGAGGATGAGGAGGAACAGGAGGAGGATGAGGAGGAGGAAAAGGAGGAGGAAATGAAAAGGAGAGGAATGAAAAGGAGAGGAATGAAAAGGAGGAGGAGGATAATGAAAAGGAGGAAAAGGAAAAGGAGGAGGAGGAGGAGGAGGAGGAGAAGAAGTGGGAAGCCCGCGCCGGGAGCTCCTTTGGGGCAGCCCAGCGCTCGAGAGGGGATCGCAGCTGGCGCCGTGCTCCGCGGCCGCCCCCTTTTGGAGCCAACAGGGGCCCCAAAGGGCCCCCTTCGGGGCCCCCCTTCCCCCCTCTCCGCACCCCACGCGGTGTGGGCCCCGCCCCGATGCCAGAGGTCCGACGCTCCCAGGAGAGCACGGGGGGGCGGCGGGACTTTGGCAGTTTTCGGCCTCCCGAAGCCCTCGCCGGGCCTCGAGAGCGTCAAAAGAACCGACTCGGGACGAAGCGCCCGTTCTGAAACGCAGCACGTGGCTTGCTCAAGGCGTCCGTGTCGATGACTTTGCGTGTTGGCTCAGCGTGTCGGCCCACGTCTTGGCGAACGTATCGTGTCAAGCCTACGTTTGCAGTCTACGTGTTCAGCTCCGTATCAATACGCTACGTGTTGCGTGTTGCGTATCGGGGCAGCTAAGTTTGGAACTCGTCGGCGTTCCGCGCGGATTTCTTGGATCGGCGCTGTCCCCCCTCTCGGGGCTCTCTACAACTTTCCCGAGGCGGATTGCAGCCGAAAAGCTTCGATTACTTTCAGCGCGGTTCTTCAACGTTTGAGCCCTTCTGGGCTTTGAGATGGGAGGCAGAGCAGGGAGGATGTGGTGGAGGTGCTTCCACACTCGCCCAGCGTGGCCCCTCGACCGTTTCGTCGTCGTGCCCGCTCCTCTTCTTCGATCGGCCCGTGCGTCCCCCCGTGGCCCGCCCTCGCTGGCTGCACGGATGCTGAGATGTTCTGGCGCCGTCTGTTCAACCGGTTTCTGAACGCGAGGGGCACGCGCGTGAGCTCACACGCCAGGCGGCCCAGTCTGGCAGTCCACATCTTGCTGCGGTGAAGACGTACACTCTGGCGCCCTCTGGCGCGCCGTTGGCCCTGCGTGGCTCCTCGCCGGCGGGGGAGGCAGTCGAGGCTGTCCCCTCGCTGGCTCCCCCGCCGAGGCCGTCGAGGCCGCCCCCTTTGCCGGGGCATGCCCCGTCTGCGCCGTTTCCTTGGCCCCGCCGGCTCCTCCGGGCGCGCGCGCGCCGGTTGCGACCCGCCGCGGTGCTGCGCACGCGGCTTCCGAACGAAAACGTGAAGCAGAGGGAGCGGAGGCAGAGGCAGAGAGGAGGAGGAGGAGGAGGAGGAGGAGGAGGAGGAGGAGGAGGAGGAGGAGGAGGAGGAGGAGGAGGACGAGGAGGCGGAGGAGGAGGAGGAGGCGGAGGAGGAGGAGGAGGAGGAGGCGGAGGCGGAGGAGGAGGAGAAGGAGGAGGAGGAGGGAGGAGAAAGCATAGGAATGACCATATGAAGGCTAGCAATAAGAATGCGAGTATGCCTTGTAGAAGCCTTATAGAAAAAACTGCCCTAACCAGGCATGGCCCATGTTGGCCGGAGGGCTGGTTGGGGTTGGCCGGAGGGTTGGCTGGGGCAGTTTTTCGATTGGTGAGCCCGGCTGTGCTGGCCCTGCCAGAGCGATCCTGGCTCCTCCCTAGGCCTTCTGGGGGCCGCGACAGCGAGAGCGTCAAAAACACAGATCGGGATGAAGAGCGGGTCCTGGGGAAAGCCCGGCGTCGACCCGTTTCCACCACGACCGTTCGTCCCTCGCCTGAGTGTGTTGAGGCACCCGCCTGGGCCTGGCGCCCTCCGCCTGGGCACCCCGCGCGCCCAGCCGCCCCGAGTCGGGGGCGAAACAGTGACGGAAACCTAGCGAGCCTCGGAGGTCCGCGCGTGTTCCCGAGCTGTCGTGCGCATGCCACTTCTGATCACGGCCTTGTTCCCCTGCAGGGGGGCCCCAGGACTTCCAGGATCTCCTCTGAGCCCTGCTCCCGCTCCCGCCCCAGCCGCCGCCCCACCCCGTGCTCTGCCTCGCGCTCGCCCCCTGCTCGTCCTGCTCCTGCTCCTCGATGCTGCTGCCCCGTGCGCCTCCTGGTCCTCGTTCGGCCTCGTCCCACCGTGGTCCGTCGCTCTCGTTGTCCTGGCTCGGATTTTGAAGGCCTGGTCGTCGATGCGCACAACGCCGTCGCGAGTCGCTCGCCGAGTTGTGGTCGCGGGAAGAAGCCCCTGCCCATTCCCATTCCCCCGCTCTGTCCTCTTGCGCATCATGCCCTTCCCTTCCTCCGTGCTCGCTCGGCTCCAGCCACACGTGCTCAGAGACAGAAAAGTACAGTCCTTCTCGTTAGCTGCCCCATGCACGGGCTTATCCACGTCGTGGTCAAGGATCTTATTGTCAGCCGGTACGGCGAGGACGCTTGGGGGGCAGTCCTGCGGGAACTTCAAGTCACAGACGACGCAGCGGTTCTGGGCCTCAAGCAGTATGACGACGCGATCACCGTGGCCGCCGTGAATGCCGTGACCAAGGTGCTCGCGATCACATGGGACGATGCCTTGAGGGCCGCAGGGGCCCACTTCGTCGCCTACGTCTACACCGGGGGCCACCTGCGCATGCTGCAGAGCATGGGGGACAACATGAAGGACTTTGTGCGGAACCTGAACCACATCCACAGCCACGTGGAGCGCATGATGCGAGGGACGAGGTCAGATCCCCGAATCATCAGGGGTAACTCGGGTCAGGGCTAACTCGGGTTCGTTCTTCGGGGATCCGAACCAAAGTTACCCCGGGCCCGAGCTGCCCCGGATAATCCGGGCGTCCAGAGCCCCAAATCATCAGGGGTGACTCGGGTCAGGGCTAACTCGGGTTTGTTCTTCGGGGACCCAAGCCCGAGTTGCCCCGGGCTCGAGCTGCCCTGGATAACTCGGGCGTCCAGAGCCCCAAATCATCAGGGGTGACTCGGGTCAGGGCTAACTCGGGTTCGTTCGTCGGGGACCCAAGCCCGAGGTACCCCGGGCCCGAGCTGCCCCAGATAACTCGGGCGTCCACCGAGGGCCCCCTCCTTCCACATCACCGACGAGGCGGAGGGCGGCTTCCGCCTCTCCTACGCCTCCGTCCGCGGCAGCGCCCTCGTCGCCCTGGTGGAGGGCGTGCTGCCCGCGGCGGCCGAGTTGCTCCACGGGCAGGCCGTCGGCATGCGGCTCGAGGCCGAGGAGGAGGAGGAGGAGGAGGAGGAGGAGGAGGAGGAGGAGGCGGAGGAGGAGGAGGAGGAGGAGGAGGAAGCACAGGAGGGGGACGAGGAGGAGGAGGAGGAGGAAGCAGAGGAAGCAGAGGAGGGGGAGGAGGAGGAGGGGGGACGAGGCCGAGCCCATGCCCGGCTTCTCGGCCACGTGGAGCGTCAGCATCGGCCCGCTGGGCCGGGCGCAGGGCCCGCCCGCCGTGGCCGACCCCCGCGGCGCCGCGAGCCGCGGGGCCGCCTGGCACGCCGCCGTCATGAGCTGCTTCGGCAGCTGCTGCGCAGGGCCTGCGGGCGGCGGCGGCGCCCCCGAGGCCGCCCACGGGGCCGTCGACTCGGGAAGCAGCGCCAGGGGAGCCTCAAGTGCACCCAGAGATCTATAGCGCACTGCAAAAAGCAAGACGGAGGTTTTTCGCAGCTTCCGGCCTCGAGGGGCCCTCGCCGGGCCCCGGGACCGTCAAAAAACGGTTCGGGATGAAGAACCGGTCCCGGGGAGTCGGTCGGGACTTCCGGGGACCCCGTATTGAAAAATCACGACATCGGATCTTTGGGTACCCTCGCAGCTCCGTCCTCCGAGTGCGCTGGCGTCGATCTGCGTCTGGTCATCGATGGGGCGGCGCCGACTCCGCGTCGACTACGTGTGTCGACCAGCGCCCGGCGAGCGTCGATGGGCGTCGGACAGCGTCGAGCAGCGCCGATTTCAAAGAGTCCGCGAGATAGTACTGGAGGCTCCCATGAGTTGCCGCAGACCCTGACCCCCGACGTCGTGATTTGTTCACAACGTCGACCCCCAGAGGTCTGGACCCCTTACCCGGGACCAGTTTTGCTTCCTGCGCCGTTTTCTGACGGCCCCGGGGCCCGGTGACGGCCCCCAGAGGCCGAAAATATAGAAAAACCTCCCGTCTTAATTTTGTTCCCCACATGCTTGGTGGGGTTCTGGTTTTCTTCCCTCCCGCGTCCCACCCGCGACGCTCACACACACACACAGCGCACAGCGCACAGCGCACAGCGCACAGCGCACAGCGCACAGCGCACAGCGCACAGCGCACACGCACACGCACACGCACACGCACACGCACACGCACACGCACACGCACACGCACACACATACACACACACATCCACACACACAGACACACAGACACACAGACACACAGACACACAGACACACAGACACGACACTCACACAGACACACACACAGACACACATACAGACACACACACACAGACACACACAGACACACAGACACACACAGACACACACACAGAAGCACACAGACACAGACATACACACACATACACACACAAACACGCGTGCGCGCACGCGCATGCGCACGCGCACGCGCACGCGCACGCGCACGCGCACGCGCACGCGCACGCGCACGTACACGCGCACGCGCACGCGCACACGCACACGCGCACACGCGCACACGCGCACACGCGCACACGCGCACACGCGCACACGCGCACACGCGCACACACGCACACGCGCACACGCGCACACGCGCACACGGGTTCACGCGCACACGCGCACGCGCACACGCGCACACGCGCACACGCGCACACGTGCACACGCGCACACGCGCACACGCGCACACGCGCACGCGCGCACGCGCACACGCGCACACGCGCACACGCACACACGCGCACACGCACACACGCACACGCACACACGCACACACGCACACACGCACACACGCACACACGCACACACGCACACACGCACACACGCACACACGCACACGCGCACACACGCACACACGCACACACGCACACACGCACACCTCACCTGCCTCATCACCAAGAGCGTGTTCTACCGCTGCTGGCGGAAAACCGAGGGGGGTCACTGGGGGGTCCCAACCCGTCCCCCCCCCCTCGAAAACCGGGGGGGGGTCACTACCAGTTCGAACCCCTCCCTCCCCCCCCAGTCCATCATGACAAGGGGAGGGGGTCACTACCGGTTCGAACCCCCTCCCCCCCCGCCCCTCCCCCCCTCGAAAACCGGGGGGGGTCACTACCGGTTCGAACCCCCCCCCCCCCCTCGCCGCAGGCAAACGATTCCCGCTCCTCGGGACAGTTGGACAATGGTGGGGATGCCGGGACAGTGGTGGGAACGGCGGTGGTGGGAACAGTGGTGCGGGGAAAGTGGGACAGTGGTGCGGACAGTGTGGGGACGGTGGTGGGGGGGACAGTGGTGAGGGGACAGCGGGACAATTTTGGGGACAGTGGGACAGTGGTGGGGACGGTAGTGGTGGGGACAGTGGTGAAGGCGGTGGTGAGGACAGTGGTGGGACAGTAGTACGGTGGGGAAAGTGGTGGGGACAGTGGGGACAGTGGGACAGTGATGGGGACAGTGGGGACGGTGGGACAGCACAGTGGGACAGCGGCGGGGACAGTGGGACAGTGGTGGGTACAGTGAGGACAGTGGGACACTGGTGGGGACCGTGGGAAAAGTGGGGAGAGTAGGTCCGTGGTGGGACAATGATGGGGAGAGTGGGGACAGTGCGACACTGGTGGGGGCACTGGTGGGGACAGCGGGGACAATGGCGGGAACAGTGGGGACAGTGGGACAGTGGTGGGGACGGTGGTGGTGGGGACAGTGGTGTGGGGACAGTGAGAATGTGGCGGAAACAGTGGGACAGTGGAGGGTGCAGTGGTGGTGGGGACAGTGGTGAGGGCGGTGGCGAGGACGGCGGTGGGACAATGGGACAGAGGTACAGTGGGGACAGTGGTGGGGACAGTGGGGACAGTGGTGGGACAGTGGGGAGCGGTGGGGACAGTGGGGGGTGGTGGGACAGTGGGGACAGTGGTGGTGAGGACAGTGGTGCTGGGGACAGCAGTGGGGGATGTGGTGCGGACGGTGGTAGGAACCCGGGAGTCGTTTGCTGGCGGTGGGGTGGTGGTGGGGGTTCGAACCGGTAGTGACCACCCCGGTTTTCGGGGGGGGGGGGTCGAACCGGTAGTGACCCCCCCCCAGTTTTCTGGAGGTGGGGAGGGGGGAGGGGTTCGAACCGGTAGAAAACCCCCTCTGGGGGGTGGGGGGGGGGAGGGGTTCGAACCAGTAGTGGCCCCCCCCGGTTTTCCGGAGGGGGGGTGAGGGGGATTCGAACCCGTAGTGACCCCTCCCCGGTTTTCCGGGGGGGGGGGGTTAGGGGAATGGGGGGTTTTGGTTTTGCCGGGGGGAAGGGGGGGGGAGGGGTTCCAGCAGGGGGGAGTAGATTTTCGGAGTGGGGGGGGGACCCCCGGGTTCCGGAGGAAGAGGGGGGGAGAATTTTCCACAGTGAAACGGCGGTGGATCACGCTCTCTTCACCTCATCCCCACAGACACAGACACACGCACAGACGCACACACACGCACACACGCACAGCGTCTCGCTCGCGTCTCCCCATCCACAAATAGCCGCACACGCATCAGACACATGACACGCACATCACACAACACATGAGCACCACAGGGGGGTGCAATGGGGGGGGGTCTCCCTATCCGTTTCGGGATCGTAAAGCGTGGCAGGCGCGACACTTCCTCGACACCAGAGGGGGTGCGCAGGGGGTGGTCCCTCATTGCGGCCTCTATGCGTGCCAGGGTCTAAGGGCGTGGCAGGCGTGGCAGTATCTCGACACCAGAGAGGGTGCGCACGGGGTGGTCTCTCAGCGCGGCTTCTATGCGTGCCAGGGTCTAAGAGCGTGGCAGGCATGGCACTTTCTCGACAACAGAGGGAGTGCGCACGGGGTGGTCTCTCAGCGCGGCCTCTGTGCGTGCCAGGGTCGGAGAACGTTGCAGGCGTGGCACTTTCTCGACATCAGAGAGGGTGTGCAGGGGGTGGTCTCTCAGCGCGGCCTCTATGCGTGCCAGGGTCGGAGAGCGTGGCAGGCGTGGCACTTTCTCGACACCAGAGAGGGTGTGCAGGGGGTGGTCTCTCAGCGCGGCCTCTATGCGTGCCAGGGTCGGAGAGCGTGGCAGGCGTGGCAGTATCTCGACACCAGAGAGGGTGTGCAGGGGGTTCTCTCTCAGCGCGGCCTCTATGCGTGCCAGGGTCAGGGAGCGTTGCAGGCATGGCACTTTCTCGACACCAGAGAAGGTGCGCAGGGGGGTCTCTCAGCGCGGCCTCTATGCGTGCCAGTGTTGGAGAGCGTGGCAGGCGTGGCACTTTCTCGACATCAGAGAGGGTGTGCAGGAGGTGGTCTCTCAGCGCGGCCTCTATGCGTGCCAGGGTCGGAGAGCGTGGCAGGCGTGGCAGTATCTCGACACCAGAGAGGGTGCGCACGGGGTGGTCTCTCACCGCGGCCCCTGAGCGTGCCAGGGTCGGAGAGGGTGGCAAGCGTGGCACTTTCTCGACACCTGAGTGGGGTGCGCAGGGGCTGGTCTCTCAGCGCGGCCCCTGTGCATGTTAGGGTAGGAGAACGTGGCAGGCGTGGCACTTTCTCGACACCAGTGGGGGTGCGCATGGGGTGGTCTCTCACCGCGGTGTCTACACGTCCCAGTCGTCATGCACAGGAGGCGTGGTGCTTTCTGGACACCATAGGGGATACGCAGGGGGCGGTCTCTCACAGCAGCGTGCGCCGTCCGCCCGCCCACCGCGTCGAGACTCGTGCGCCGTCCGCCTGCCTACCTACAGCCCCGCTCTCTTCTCTGGTCGCCATGGCTCAGGCTGTTGTTCGCACGGCGCGTCAGTCTCCCAAGGCTTGACCAGCGCCACTAACTGCATCGAAGCAACGGCCACCAGCATCATTCTCGCAAGTTTCACGTCAGCTGTCATCACGCCAGACATCTTATAAGTATGTGGGGTTCCTCGGTACGGTGGGGCCGTTGGTTGAGGAGTGTGCCCATGAGCCTTCAGACCCTGGACCATTCCTTATCGGATGAGGGCGGCGGTGGTGTCCATGGCCAGTCCACGATTTGAGTTACCCCAGCTTCCAGACCCTAGATTCCTTATCCAAGGGTTCCTCATCCAATGCCCCACCGTAGCGCAGGTCATGGCGCGATGGGGGTCCGGGGAATGTCGGCGAGGTCGTCCGCGCGCCCTCGAGCTCCAGCCACACGCCCCGGACCTCTGGCGCCCCCGGCGGCCACGCGGGGCCGTGCTCGGAGGAGCGCTGCCTGGGGCCGGGCCTGGGGCGGGCGCCCAAGCCGCAGGCCCCGGGCGCGCTGGAGTCCGGGCTGGACGTCGGGCAGCGCCAAGGGGGGGGGGGGGGTCGGCACTCCCAGACCCCCTCGCGCTGTGAAGAAGCCACGATGCGGGAGGCTTTCCGCTATATTTTGTCGGCCTCCGGGGGCCCCTGCCGGGCCCCGCGGGGCCGTCAAAGAACGGCGCGCCGGATGCAAAATTGGTCCACGGGAAGCGGTCCAGACACTTCTGGGGGTCGACGTATGTGACAAAAAGTCACGACGTCGGGGGTCGCCGCTGGGGGAAGCGCCAGCTGCTGCTGGAAAGTGAGGCGGTTCCAGGCTCGAAGCCCAGGCCGCGAGGGCGCGAAGCGCGAGGTTATCATCGCCCCCCCGAGGATGCCCTCGGGGAGGTTGGTGGGCAAAATCCTGCACCAACAGCGCAGCCAGGGCGACGGCGCAAACTTCCAGGCGCCCCCCTGCCCCCGATTCAATGTTGATTGGCTGCGCCCTCGGGGTGCAGGATGTAGGCCAGTCGGCAGATCGACAAATCGTGCCACAGCCTGTCAATATTAAATTCGGGGCGCGGGGGGCGAAATCTAAAATCGAAAAAAAAGGTGCAGGATTTTGTCCATCAATCGTTACGTTAGGTTCGTGTCGTGTCGACCAGCGGCGACCCCGACGCTGGCGTTCAATGTTGAACGCCGGCGGCGGCCCAGAATCGGTCGATGTTGAACGATCGGACGTTGCGGAAAGGGCCGACCGTTCAAGGTTGAACGATCCCCGCGGCGTCAGGAACCAACGCACAGGTCGACACGGCACGAACCTTCCGTACTCACAGTGTTCGGCCGCTGTCGGCGGTTTTTTGGCCCCAGGTGCGCCGGACTTCTGGCTGGACGTCGGGCACTGTTCGAAGAAGAAAACATAGCATAAACTATCGACGGTCCGCGCGGATTTCTTGGATCCGTGCTGGGCCCCCCTGGCGGCGCCTCTGGCGCCGCCCCTGGCGCGCTCCGCGCGCCACGGAGGGGGTTCCAACCCACATCCAAGAAAAATCCGCGCAGACCTTATGCCGTTTTTTCTTCCTCTGGTTGCCAATGGGAGGTCACCACAGGATGGAAGCTGGATGATGTTCGGTAGCAAGTCATGGGAGCCTAGTGTATCTTCTTAATTTTGTCTTTAGCGTCGACTGGCGTCGATTACCGTCTGGAGTCGACGAGATGGCGCCGATTTAGCGTCGGTTAGCGTCGATTTCGCGTCGATGTAGCGTCGGTCAGCGTTGAATTAGCGTCGATTAGCGTCGATCTAGCGTCGACGAGCGTCGACTCGCAAGAGCCGCCAAGATGGTACGGGAGGCTCCCGTGAGTTGCCACCGAAGGAGTACGCTTTTGGAGGAGGAGGAGGAGGAGGAGGAGGAGGAGATGGAGGAGGAGATGGAGGAGGAGGAGGGGGGTCGCTCGAAGAAGGAACAACGGCACGCACATGAACTTTTCCAAGGGGGGTCACCACCTGGGGGAGTCGCCAGCCGCTCCTGGAAGTGGAGGCTCTCCATGATCGAAGCTGGAGGCTGCTTTTGGGACGCTTTTAGGGGGTCGCTCCATACAGTGGATACCCATGCCAAGAAACGCCCTGCTTGCATCCAGGGTGCCCTTGGTTTCTTGGGATTCGATGGTTTTGCTACGGAAAGCGTGACGCTCCCACACCAAAAATCAAGGGACCTCCTGGGGTCTCAGGGTTGGGTTTCTTGTGGAAGGTTATGATGTTCCAGCCTACTTTAGCCTTGATCACCGGAAAGAATTTCGAGCACAAGTGCCGAAAAAACCCGAGGGTTTTCGCGCGCCGGGCCCTGGGAGACACTCGTCCGACACTGCTTCGACACCGTTTCGACGCTGCTTCGACACCTCTCCAGGTGCTCGAAATGATTCCTGGGATGGGGTCATCAAGTGCGACGGGAGCAGCATAAGCGGAAGGTTCCCTGTGGACTGGCCTCTGCTGCAGGCGGGCGGGCCGCTCTGGGCGTGTGCTGCTCTCTTTGGAGGCCCACCCTCCTCGAGAGGGAAGGGCGGCGCTCCCCCTCGGGTGTCGATGGTTCTGCTGGTTGCTCATGGAAAGCGTGGCGCTCCCACGCCAGAAAGCAAGGGACCTCCTGGGGTTCTCAGGGCTGGGCTTCAGTCGGGCCTGTCCCTCTGCAGGAAGTAGATTCAAAAATATACCAAAAATAATATGTGGACGATGCTTTGAGCATTTTGGGGCTGTTTCTGAATAGTTGTGGCTATTTTTTCCGTCCAAAATCCCCCTGTATGGGGGGATATGGGGGGGACATGCCCGACCTAAGGCTGGGCCTCTCCCGCAGGGTTTCTTGTGGGCTGGCCACCACAGGCGGGGGCGGCCGCTCTGGGCGTGCGCGCTGCCTGCTGCTCTCTCTCTTGGAGGCCCAACCCCTCCCTCCTCCTCCTCCTCCTCCTCCTCCTCCTCCTCCTCCTCCTCCTCCTCCTCCTCCTCCTCCTCCTCTCCTCCTCCTCCTCCCCTCCTCCTCCCTCCCTCCTCCCTCCTCCCTCCTCCTCCTCCTCCCCCTCCCTCCTCCCTCCTCCTCCCTCCTCTCTCCTCCTCCTCCTCCTCCCCTCCTCTCCTCCTCTCCTCCTCCTCCTCCTCCTCCTCCTCCCCCTCCCTCCCTCCCTCCTCCCTCCCTCCCTCCCCTCCCTCCCCTCCCTCCCTCCCTCCCCTCCTCCTCCTCCTCTCCTCCTCCTCCTCCTCTCCTCCTCCTCTCCTCCTCCTCTTCCTCTTCCTCCTTCTCCTCCTCCTCCTCCTCCTCCTGCTCTACTCCTCATCCCTCCGCCCCCTCCCCAGGGTAGTAAAGTCGGGCGTGCCCCCCTACAGGAGGAAGATCCCCAACGTAGTCCAACAAGATAGTCTGGGGACGATGCTCCTGAGATGTTTGACCACTTTTGGGGGCACTACCCGCCATTCGTGTGAAGAACGCCCACCAGGAGTAAAGGTCAACGCTGATGTACGAAGGGCCCCCGTGCCCCCAATTTCAATGTTGAAAACGGGGCTGTCCTGGCGGTGAAGATCTAGGCTTTTTTTATGCCGATGCTTGCACCCCGACGGCGGCCGCGAACGCAACACTGAAATGGGGGACCCAGGGGCGGGCACTTCGCAGCGTCGTTTCTAGATGAGCGTTTTTGGCGCCAACAGCGGTATGTTTCATGCATCTTCCAGCATCCGCCTGTGGGAGGACATGACTCTTCGGCGTCTGAGCGTCCCTCCTTCCTCTCGGCCGTCCCCCTTCCCTCCTTGCTCGCCGGCCAATTCGCTAGTTAGTGCCCCTATCTAGCTTCACGCTGGAGCGGATTTCGCCGCCTCGCCGCTGACGAGAAAGTAGGAGGACATGCCCGACCTAACCCTTGCGGTCGCCCCCCATGGCCTGGGCATCGATCGGGCGTGTGCATTTTTTTCTGCCTCGGCGAGGACCCTCGAGGAGCACCCCTAAAGATCCTCGAGCAAAGAAGCACGCGCGCGAAAAAACGAAAAACGCACGGGGAACGGACGTCCGAGCGATGGCAAGTGGCACTGCCCCAGGACGAGCTGGCGCGCAGGGCCAAGGGCGCGGTCCAGCCCGCGGACCTGCTGATGAGGGCGGTGCCCTCCAACCGCGTCTGCGCCGGCTGGGAGGACAGCGGCCGCCTCTCGCAGGCGGAGGACTTCTGGCGCAGCAACGCCGGAAGCGCTCGCCACTTCCAGCTGGCAGCACCAGCTTCACGGGCCGCACGCTTCATATCGCACGCGTGGTCCGAGCCCGAGAACTGGCGGGAGCTCATGGGGTCCAAGTGCAGCTATGCCGCCATGAAGTCGACGGAGTTGCAGTTGGCTGCTGCAGAGATCGCAGCAGACTCTGACTGCGCGCTCGAGGACGTCACTTTCTGGGTCGACAAATGCTGCATTCCACAACAGCATTCGCTGAAGGACTTCTGCATCTCGTTGATCGAGGACTTCCTGGACCGCTGCGACGGGATGGTCGTGCTCCTGACCTGGGGGTACTTCCAGCGCCTGTGGTGCGTGTACGAATGGGCCGCCTTTCTGGTGCTCCACCCCCCAGAGAACATCACCGTATGCCTGGAGGCCTTCCTGCGCCCGAGCTCCCGCCAGTTTTACGTCAAAGCCATCAGGGAGCTGAGCATCGCCAACTGCAAGTGCTCCCACGAGCCCGACCGCTCCCTGCTCAAGCAGAAGGTGGCGCAGTACTACACCTCGGAGGCCGGCTTCGAGGAGCTGGCCCGTTGCAGCGCCATCGCGCTGATCGTCCGCAGCGTCCTGAGGAGCGCCTCCCGCAGTCTGCACACCTGGGAGGAGGAGGTGGTGCCATACGTAGAACTGGCCAGGGAGCTGCGGCTGGACGACCTGGCCGAGGCCCTCGAATCCGCGGATCCGTGGGAGTGGCGGAGGAACGCCCTGGAGGCTGCCAGCATCGGCACGGACCCGGCCGGCAGCAGAGGCAGCATCGCCGAGGTGAGGGAGTGGCAGCCTTTTTTCGACTACTCCATTGACTGCTGGTTCCATGATCAGGTCGTCCCCGTGCTGCAGCGCATCAAATCAATTGCGGTGCGGCGCGACTTCGCAGGCGTTTCGCGCTCGCACGAAAGCCTGGTCGCGGCGCGAAGGAGCAGCAGGTCGTCACGGTCGTCAACCACGGCACGAACTTTCAGCCTGAGCTCCTGCAGCAGTGCTCCTGGAACAGAGCATGAAGGCTCCAGCAGCTGGCCTCTGAGCTCAGATCGCATCTGAGCTCGAGCGCCTGTCTCAGAAAAAGAAGAAACGTCATTAGCAGAAACTTTTGGCGCTCCGCGCGGATTTCTTGGATCTGCGCCGGACTCCCCTCCCTGGCGCGCGGGGGCGCGCCAGGGGCGGCGCCAGAGGCGCCGACAGGGGGACCCAGCGCGGATCCAAGAAGCCCGCGCGGAGCGCCAAAAGTTTATGTTTATGGCGTTTTCTCTTCTTCGATTTTTGGCCTCAGCTTATGAGGCTCCAACCTACTTTGGCCTTGCGCACCAGAAATAACTTCGAGCACCAAGACAGCAACGAAACTGGAGGGCTTTCACGTGCCGGGCCCTGGGAGAGGCGAGTTGCTCGTTCGACACGCTTTTGTCACTTTCCTGGGTGCTCGAACCTGTTTCTGGGACGTGGTCCTCTTCAGCACCCGGGGCACAGCATAATGAGCCTCAGCCTTCAGAGCTGCCCGAGCCCTTCCGGGCTGCGGGGTGCGGTGCGCGCGCCGGGCACCGCGCGCGCGCGGGCGCACGGCGCTCCGGCGGGCAGCGCGCCCGTGCGGAGCGCGTGGCGCCCGGGGCGTGCCCGGCGGCAAGGCGGCAGGAACGGCGCGCACGGCCCGTCTCCTCGCGACCCAGTTCAGGGGGCAAGGAGACAGGGGGGGGGGGAGGGGCACAAAGGGGGGGGATGCATCTCAGAGGCGCTTTTTTTCCCACTGTGACTTCCTTCGCTTTGCTGCAGCTCTCTTTTCGCTTGAGCAAAACGTCGCTTTGTTCGAGATGTGTCGAGCGGCGCGCCTTTACTAAAGCCGCTTCCTCGCTTTAGTAAAGCCGCTTCCTCGCTTTAGTAAAGCCGCTTCTTCGCTTTAGTAAATCCGCTTCCTCGCTTTAGTAAAGTCCGCGGTCTGCTTGAAGAAAACCCATTGATCGCCGATAGGAGCCCGAGAGCCCCAATATGCACAGTAAGGTGCGGATTCACTAATTATCGGGGGCCCATCGCCGATCTATCGGCGATGTATCGCCGATTTCAGGTCGATGCATCCCCCCCATGCCAGTCCCCTCCTTTATCGTTGCCCCTCACCCAAAGGAGGTCCAGCTGAAAGGGGGTGGTGCAAGAGGTTTTGGGCAATTGTATTCCAAATGCATTGCGCCAGAGAACTGTATTACATTGTATTGCAACTCGTGTTTGGCACGCGAAAGCCCAGCAACCCATTTGCGCCCCGGAGTGTACTGCACGCCCCAAATCTGTTGCAACCCCACAAGTCTATTGCACCACATCTATTGCACCACCCCCTTGTCGCTGGACCCCCTTTTGGGTCAACCAGACTGTACACCCGTGCCCTCACGGTGCGGATCCCGAGGCGCGATCCCGTAGACACGCGATCCTACGGCCGAGGGGAGCAACGATCGAAGAAGAAATAGAAGAAGAAGAAACGCCACAAACATAAACTGTTCTTGCTCCGCGCGGGTTTCTTGGATCCGCGCTGGGCCCCCCCGCCGGCGCCTCCAGCGCCGCCCCTGGCGCGCTCCGCGCGCCAAGGAGGGGGGTCCGATGCGGATCCAAGAAATCCGTGCGGAGCGCCAAAAGTTGATGTTTATGCCGTTTCTTCTTCTTCTTCTTCTCCTTCTTCTTCTTCTTCTAGAGGCGCGACCCCGTGGGCACGCGATCCTACGGTCGAGGGAAGCAATTAAGCAACACTCCCCCCCTCCCGCAATTCAAAGTTGGCGGGTTCCCTGAAGCCGAAGTCGGAAGATCCAAAGCCAACACCGCACTTGGGGGGAGGGGGGAGGAGTTCGAACCACATGTTCTGCATGAGTGTTGCTTCATTGTGTCCGACACCTGTATGTATACTTTCCGCACCGGCATCCGCGTCGCCCCCCCAGGGGCGACGTGCGCACCGAGAAATCTTACTGTATATACTGCGTAGAAGGCGCTGTCTGGCCACGCCGCTCGGGAAACGATACACTACAAGATGGATATACCATATGTTCGGGTCGGACGCGCGACGTCCAAGGAGGACCTGTAGTATCAGTATGTTTCCGTGCGTCCCAACCCCGTGGACACGCGATTCTATGATCGCGTTCCGCACCGGCATCCGCACTGAGCCAGCGTGCATCCACAGCGTTGCGGCCGGGGAGGCCGGATCCCGTGGCCGTGGCTATGAGTATCAAGCAGTGGCGAAGCGTCCTGGCTTGCACATAGGCCCACCAAAGCATGTTCTAAGAACCTCTTGTGGTTTGCACGAAAGGTTCTTAGAACATTTCTTGCTGGGAATGTCTTGTTTCAACACATGGGGCTTATGCTCTAAGAACAATGGCTTTGTTCTTAGAACAGTTTTGGGTTCTAAGAACATTGTCGTGGTAGGCCCATAGGAATGCCAGGACGGTCGGCCCCTGCTCAAGAATATGTCCTCCGCCCACGACGGCTTCCGGAGCCTTTCATTAAGTCTCGGGCATGTCCCTCTACAGGAGGAGCATTCAAAAATAACCAGAAAATCGTACGGGGACGATTTTACGACTGTTTTCAACAAGTTTTGAGCATTTTCGGGGCTCTCTTGTATATGTCTTACAGATTCCGCCTGTGGGAGGGCACGCCCGACCTAACCCTATGGGTACATTCCGCACCCGCATCCGTGCCGAGCCGGCCTGTATACAGTGCCGCGGCCGAGGAGGCCAGACCCCGAGTTTTCCGCCCACGAAGGCTTGCAGAGTCTTTCACTTATCGGCAAGTCGCCGACCGGCAAGTCGCCGACCTCTTCGAGGGAAGCTCGAAGAAGAAAAAACAGAAAAACGGCCTAAGCAAAATTGTTGGCGCTCCGCGCGGATTTCTTGGATCCGCGCTGGGCCCTCCTGGCGGCGCCTCTGGCGCCGCCCTTGGCGCGCTCCGCGCGCCAGGGAGGGAGGCACAGCGCGGATCTAAGCACTCCGCGCGGAGCGCCAAAAGTTTATGCTCATGCCGTGCTGTCTTTTTCCAGAAGTGGCCATCCGTCGTGGCGTATGGTGCAGAGCTGCATTGCGCAAGCCTCGTGCAGCGGCCACCCTCCCTCCCCGTTGTCTCGCAGCACCTTCCACCGCCACGAAGTCAGCAAATGCTGGCCCAAGCAATACAAGTGACCGCGGTACTGTCCAAAGCGTCAGCATAATACCGTGGCGCGTATATGTCGAATTCAATTGGTCACATGTGCCATCTATTGCTCAAGTTCTACAGACCGTGGACAGAGACTGATATCCCTCCCACTCCCGCTTCATCCTGCTCGTCCTTCTTGCTGCTGATCTTCCCCCCTTCACCCTCCTCATTTTAACCCTCCTCACCCTCCTCGTCCTCCTTTCCCCCCACCGCCCCCCTTTCACTCCACTTCCCCGTCCTCCTTCCCTCCTCCTCCTCCTCCTCCTCCTCCTCCTCTTTCTCCTCTGCAACCTCCTCCCCCCCTTCCCGAGCCACATCTGATATCAGGCAGTCAAGACGCTGACACAATGAGCATATCAGGTTCGGAAGGGGCTCGATGTTCTTCGGTCCTTCCGCGGCCGCTCCTGTGGTGCTCCTCGTGCACCGAGCTGCAAAAACTGCATTCATTCCTTATCTAGCGCTTCTTACGGTAGTAGCTTGGCTGCACCCTTCCCCCAATCCCTTCCGCTGCCATGAGCCTTTTTCTGTCTGCTGGCTGGGGTGTCCCCGAGGACCCTGGTGCCCAAACGGCAGGTGCAGGATGGCCCCATCGTTTGCCGTGCAAGCAGGAAGGGGGAGGCTTTGGTACATTGAAGGAGGAGGGGGAGGAGGAGGTGGTGGAGGAGGAGGAGGAGGAGGAGGAGGAGGAGGAGGAGGGGGAGGAGGAGGTGGTGGAGGAGGAGGAGGAGGAGGAGGAGTTCTCTCTCCTCAGCAATCCCTGAGGGCAGGACCGATGCTGACACAGTTTGGCTGCCGGGAGCGGCAGCCGCCCTCAGCCTCGGAGAGGCCGCCCCCCCGCCTCCGAGCACGTGCTGGGAGGGCCTGCAGGCCTGGCGTCTCAGGCGGGGCATCACGCCATTCGGCACAGCAGCATCGAAGGCACGGGTCCAGAGCCTCGAGAGGCCCGAGTTCGGTCTCATACCCGAGCTGTGATCGAACAACTGTTCGTAATCTGCAGCATCTATTTTTGGCTCTCGTTCGGTTTACGGACTTGAGCTTGAGATTCAGAGCAGCTGCAGAGCTCATAGCCCTCGTGGGGGCTGCCTGACCTCGGGAGGCGGCGGAAGCGTGGCAGCATACTGCACATCTCAAAGAAGAACCCCCCAACAAAAAAACACCAGGAACGGAAGCTTTGGGCCCCGAGGCCGTGGCTACGAATACGTCTTCCGCCGCCCACGAAGGCTTCCAGAGTCTTTCACTTATCGGGCAGTTCGCCGGCCTCTTCGAGGGAAGCTCGAAGAAGAAAAACTGCATAAGCATAACATTTTGCGCTCCGTGCGGATTTCTTGGATCGGCGCCCAGGACCCCCTGGCGGCGCCTCTGGCGCCGCCCCTGGCGCCGCCCCTGGCGCCGCCCCTGGCGCCGCCCCTGGCGCCGCCCCTGGCGCGCTCCGCGCGCCAGGGGGGGTTCAAGCGGGTATCCAAGAAATCCGCGCGGACCGGCAACAATGTATGTTTATGTCATTTTCGTTCCTGTAATATCGGCTGCACCTCGGCGCGAAGTGAGGCTCAAACGAGCGCCCTCCTCGAGATGGTGATTGTGCAGGCCAGCATATGTGCGACGAAGGTCGTCGCCCCCCCCCGCCCCGAAATCTTACGCAATTGGCAGTCCCTGCCAAGAAGAAAACAGCCGCGCTGTGTATAAGCCTCGCACGTCGTGCAAACATGCATTGTAGTTGACTCAACATCCTTCGTGGTCACAAGGGTGTGGGCCAGAGTGTAGCCTTTATTGTTGTCCAGAACTCTAAGCCAGGTCTTATTGGAGCATCAGCGGACGGTGGAGGAGTGGAAATGAGCGGGACGGCAACGACGAGGAACGAGTCCGGAGTCATTCTAAACGACTGGAGCAAAGCA